AGGAAGAGGTGAATAAACTTTATCCTACTGTCCATCAGGAACTGTTGATTCAGTTGCGCCCACAGGAGAACTAATACCTGGTACATGGAGAGTCGAAGGTGCGCCAAATGGTACTTGGATAAAACTTAAAAGACTAGGAATCCTTTTGTGTGAAACCTACTGTGCTAAGCAAAAAAATACGAGAGGAATTTTCTTTGTACTTTATCAGTGAAGACGGGAAAGTGCCGTGGCAGAATAATTTTTAATTTCAAATTTAATAAATAAATAAATAGATAATGCTTTATTTCATAAGACCATAACAAAAAAGGGGCATGAAAAATGTCAAAATTAAAGAGAAAGAGAGGGAAAAGAAATATTTGCAATAAGGCACTAAAAAAATAAAAAACAAAAAAAAATAAAAATTGGTAAAACTGCTATCTGTTCAAGTTCAATATTTACAAAATGAAAATTCGTTAGTAATTTAAAGTGTGCTTACCTCAGGTGCATTGATATTCCTAGTGTCCTGTGGCTCCTCAGTATATTGCTTGGGATAGAGACCACCTTCAGTAGAATGACGTGCCACATTTTTATCTTTTAAAAATAAAAGCCACTTTGTTTTATAATGTGCATCGATTTTATCGTCACTTTTTCCTTTCTTTAATTCTCGCTGAAATTGCCCAATCAGCATGCGCATTTTTTTTCCAACTTCGCTTGTATCTGCTTTCACTTCTCCGGCTATTTCAGTCCATGCATCGTGTTTTTTATTTCGGTTTTTAAAATCCATGAATGTAGGATCCCATAATACTCGTTGTTCACGAAATAGCTCAATTAAATGAGTAGTCAGTTCTTTCGACCATTCCATCGCGTAAATAACAAATAACAACACGTGAACAAAGCTAAGAAAAATTTAGCAAAATCACTCAAGAATGAACAGGACGATATGACTCAATGACTCAAATTTCAATGACATGTTTTTGAATGTAGATCAGTCACGATGCGGTTTTACAACAATCTTTTTTAACTTTCTTTGATGTTTACCGACAACATAAAACTTGCTATATAACCAGAAAATTGTTATATAACACTGTGTTTTAAAACTTTTTTATTTAAAATTCTGTAACAAGTTACAAAACTTTGTTATTTAACATGTTTTGTTACATAGTCTGGACCCGGCTTAAAAATTACAGCAATGCTAGACGCAAAAGTTATTTCTCTGAACAGTGGCGCAGATATTTATACTACCTTTAAATTAAATAAAAATAAAAATTAAATAAGAATTAATATTAAATAACAAATTTTAAATTTATTATAATGAATATATATATATATATATATATATATATATATATATATATATATATATATATATTATATATATATATCGGAAAAAGGAGTACGACCGTCAATCCAATATATATATATATTATATATATATAAGGATCACTCAGACGAGTGGTGGGTTCTTATATCGGTCTCTAGGTGGAGAAATAAAAGACAAAGTTGATAGGCTACTTTATCTATTTTGAAGACGTTTCGCTTTCGAGTTTTGAAAGCATCATCAGTTCATCTAAAAAATTATTACAATATGAGAACCACACAATCATGGAAACGATGTTAATTGTTACCTTAAAAAGATATGTAGCAGTCAATGTTATTAACCCGATGGTGACCAACTTAGAAACATCTCTAATAATTCTATAAATAGCACTGTTCTGCATAATACCGTTCTTGAGAATACTATCACACATTACTCTTCCTTACCTTATTTCCCTCAAGTTACTGAGTAACTTATTAAATTGTATAAACAAAATAATATACCTGTTAAAATTGCTGTTAAGAATGCAAAAACTGTTAGAAATTTGTTCTCTAAAACTAAAACACCCTTGTCCACTTTGGAACAAGTGAACACAATTTATAAAATTCCATGCGCTAATTGCGATTTATGTTACATTGGTCAATCTGGTAGATCATTAAAAGGCCGTCTCACTTCACATCGTAGCGACATTAATTTATCGAAACACACTTGTGCCCTAGCACAACATGCGATAAATACAAAACATGAAGTGGATTTTAATGAAGTTAAGATCCTTGCCACTGAACGCAATCTAGCTAAAAGACAGTTTTTGGAAATGTGTTCAATATTAAAACACCCTAATGCATTGAATAAGAGAACTGACATAAGTAACTTGAGCCAAATATATCATGCTTTAATTTTGCAGAATTAGGCTACTTAATCTTTTCACTACATTAATGTCATATTAGATGTACTAGTTGAACTTTTTTCCATTTTTCATAAAACAATTTATATACATAAATAGAAATAAAATAAATGAATATATCAATAAAATAACTTAATATCTTTACTTAATTTTACTATTACATATACAACCCACATTGCATTTCAATACACTAATTACTTTAATTAGTGTTTCAAATTTTATATTAAAATAATACAAATATTGTAATTGATTCATAGAATCCTTTGCAAATCACAGCTCCAAGTATATTGAACCTTGGGCTGTTTGGAAATTATAAAATCGTTAACCACCTGGCTGTTTAACTAGCCATAATGATTAACGTCATTACATACTTATGAGGTTGAATGAAAATCTCCTGTTTGTAAATTTGGGCTGATTAGTGAGGGGAGTTGTGTTTACACTACCAACTTTTTTCACTGTGTTGTCCTTTGCAACCGGGTAGTCATCCAAACTCAGTTAAACTTAAATTAACCGCCCAAAATTTGGGTTGGTATTTACACCTTGTTGATCTGTCAAAAGTATTTTTGACCTCAAGGTTGGCTGTCTTTTTGCGGTTTAGTTCGTTCCTGTTTCATTAAACGCCATTTTCCCGGCGACATTCATAGGGCTTTGATCGGTAACTTCATATTTACTATTTTTTAAAATTTTATTAATATCACTTATAATGCTACCTAAAGTTAAAATCAAAGCTTAATATCCATTAAATAGTTGGAAGTTATTTATGATTTTCTTGGTTCTTACTCACTTATTAACATTAAATAACATTGAATTTACTTTAGACCACATGGTCATTTGCTGTGCTAATTTTTTACAAGTTCATATATGTTGTTAGTTGCTTAACTGTTTATACAAGATCAGCGTATTATGTCCATTTACTTAGTTTCATTCACATGTTTGTTAATAACATTGACTGCTACATATCTTTTTAAGGTAACAATTAACATCGTTTCCATGATTGTGTGGTTCTCATATTGTAATAATTTTTTAGATGAACTGATGATGCTTTCAAAACTCGAAAGCGAAACGTCTTCAAAATAGATAAAGTAGCCTATCAACTTTGTCTTTTATTTCTCCACCTAGAGACCGATATAAGAACCCACCACTCGTCTGAGTGATCCTTATATATATATATATATATATATATAATATATATATATATATATATATATATATATATATATATATATATACATGTTACCCTTGAAATTTCCGCTGGAGTTATATGTGCTTTGTGTAGTTTTTCGAGTTTGACTCCGCGTTGAATAATTTTGGTTTTGATAAAACCATTATTTTGACGACGTTTCGGCAAAGTCATCTCATTAAAATATATTTATCAATATCAAAGTTATTACACCTTAATACAACTCATTTAGCTGTGAGTAAAAAAAAACACTATATCAACCCACTGTCATAGGAACATAATATTAATTAAAATGGATACATTTGTCGTAGCGCTTACGAATATTTCTAATTACATTTCTTGCATGAAGTTCATTTACGTCTCCTGGGCGGGGTTGATAAAATTTTTGTTTTTTATTTTTTATTTTTAATTTTAAAACTCCCCAAAGGAATAAATCAAAATTTGTGAGATCAGGATAGCTGAGTAACCAATCTATTAGCGGACTACCATGGCTTATCCAATGGTTTGGATAATTTTCATTTAGCCATTGCTTCATAGTTCTAGCGTAATAGACAAAACACCCACAAAACTGGAAACACATATTTAATTTTTCAATAAGTGAAAGCTCATCAATAGCATTCCACAAGCCAGTATTTAAAAATTCTAAAAAATTCTCTGAGTTCCGCCAAGGAAAATAATCAATAATTCAGTCGTTCAATATACTACATTAGACATTGATTTTTTGAAAATACTGGCATTTACAGTTACCAATGGGGTTTGTAGTGAAAGTGGGTTCGTCAGTAAAAAACATATTATAGAAAATTGATATTCTTTATTATTTACTTTTTATTTTTATTCTATTCCATTTATTTTTTATTATTTTTATTATTACGATTCTGTTATTTTATTGGGTTATTTTTTAAAATTACAATATTTAATGACCGACAATTGACATGTCGGTCATTAAATATTGTACAAACTTCTCTAAGACTTTTGCTGTTACCTATCAAAAGACGTACAATTTTGTTATTTTCTCTTAAACTTAATCTTGCAATATTATTACAATACTTGGAAGTAAAAATTGTTACAGTAAATTGTAAAGGAATTGTAAAGGAATTGAAATTTGTCACAGATGTTAAACAAGCAGTAATATCATTTTCATTTCAACTAAGATTTACGATGAAATATTAGATTTTATATGTCATACAATGAATATTTTATATTATTTTTAACATTTTTTTGTGTAGTGGTATTTTATTAGTAAAATTATTTAAACAATAGTAATTATGGCTATAAGTTGATACATGGTGTTCTTTTGTGGCTGGTAGCTTGGTAAGTTTTAAAATTTTAAGTTGTCATAACTTCGTAATGAGGATATAAATGAGGATATAAAATTCTCATATAATTATCGATATTACGTAATAAATAACATAGAACACCATGAAAATAGACCCAGTTACATTTTATTGACTCCAGTTTTTTATAACCGACTTAGATAAAATTTTTTTTTTGATATTTAGAATGGAAGTTAAAATTGTTAATTAAAGGACAGACATAGTTACTTGTTTTAGTCACATTTATATGGCCCCATTTATAATGTTAAAATTAAAACCTACCGTACCCACCGAACCCACCATACTGACCGTTTTGCGGCGGTAGACTGGTGGTGAGTTGAGGTAGATCGTGTTCAGAAATGTGTAGATCAACTTTCGCCTCCGTCAACTTTAGCTTCTTTCCCTTTTCTCCATTTATTTCCTCCAATGGTCTAAAGAGTGCCCCGAACAATATACACTCCAGGATGATTCCTCCTATGATCAATATTGACCCTCTCCATCCATATGATTCAAGCAACTTGGATATGATTGGAGCAAATAGGAAGGTACCGAATCCAGAACCGCAAACTGCTATTCCGGTGGCTAAGGAACGTTTCTTCTCAAAATAGGTGGTAACACTAACGATGGCAGGAAGGTAGATTAGCCCGAAGCCTGTCCCTGTGCCAATACCCACTGTGATACACAATGTTAGCACATTTTTTGCGTAAAACGAGCTTACTAGACATGCCGAAGCTAGTAAAGAACCAGCTATTGTAACTGTTCTGCATCCGTACCGGTTGACAAAGTAGCTGGATAATGGCCCTGAAAAACAAAAAAAAAAGATTTTTAACTTGTATTAGAATAACTTTGATATAATATATATACATATATATTGTATCAAATATATATATATATATATATATATATATATATATACATATATATATATATATATATATTATATATATATATATATATACAAATATATATAATACAGAAAACGTATTGTCATATCGTTTCGTTCACGGCCGCCAAAGCAGGTGACGCCTTTGTAAGCTAACTACGTTGTATGGAAGTTATGGACGACATTCGTTGGACTTCCCGAGTTTGAATTTGTATCAGCCCAAGTGTTTGATAAGGTTGGGATAGGCCGAAATGATCATAACACTTTATTGATACCGATTCGAGCACGGGAAGTTTAACGAATTTGTCCCCCTAGGCCATATATTTGGTTATTTAATTCAATAAAGCGATAGCGGCTTTCGCTAAAAGATTTAATCTTTTACACATTTCGCATAGCACAAAGGATAGAGAAAACGATATTATAATATCGTTTCGTTCACGGCCGCCAAAGCAGGTGGCGCCTTTGTAAGCTAACTACGTTGTAGTAAGTTTTGGGAGACATTCGTTGGACTTTCCGAGTTTGAATTTGTATCAGTCCAAGTGTCTGATGAGGCTGGAATAGGCCGAAATGATCATAACACTTTATTGATACCGATTCGAGCACGGGAAGTTTAACGAATTTGTCCCCCTAGGCCATATATTTGCCCATTTAATTCAATAAAGCGATAGCGGCTTTCGCTAAAAGAATTAATCTTTTACATATATATTATATATATATATATATATATTATATATATATATATATATATATATATAAATATATATATATATATATAAATATATATATATATATACATATATAAATATATATATAATATATATATATATATATATATATATATATATATATAAATATATATATATATAAATATATATATATACGGATATATTGGGTTTAGTAGTCAATTTATTGGCCTTTAAGTAAAACTCTTTTAGGTTTGCTAAGCTTTCGAGTTTATTTTACTCTTTTTCAAAACATACTAAAAATTAACATAAGGTTTCCATATCTCTTCTATTTTTTATATTTATTTTAGGTGAGTTTGACAGAAGAAGTGTCTATGTTTATGCAAACCTTCATTGCAAATTTTGATATAATATTAGTTATTAAACAAGCAACAGAGTTTATATTACTAAGTATTTAAGAAAGAAAAAATACAAATAAAAATAAATTTTATCTCATTTGAACTTGGAATAATCCCTTTCATATGCGTAACTTTTAAGAACTTTTATATTGTTATTCTTTTATTTAAAAGAAGATTACTGTATAGGGGAGAAGGTGGGAATGGCGCTCAGTGGGGAATGACGCTCACCACAGTTTACCTAGCCCAGTCGAGTTTACTACGTCCCGTTTGATGTCATTGCCTCCTCGGAGCCCTCCCGAACTAATCGGAAGCATAACTGTGTCGATATTTAGCATCGGTCGGCGGTTTTGACAGAAAATGTGAAATTTTGTGATTTTACTGTAATATTTTTATCGCAAATATCTGAAGGTAAGTTGTAATAACGATATTTTGTAGTATTATATCATATACTTATTCGATGAGATGTGTCTTGGATGTATTTTAGCATGAACACTATTTACTTATTGTAACCTAGAAAAATTGTGTCACCATATTTGTTGAAGCTTTCAGTTTGGGGCAATTCCGCTCAAGCTGATCGTGATTACCCCGTTAGAGAGCGGCATTGCCCCAACTGGTATTTGGCTGTTAATCTTAAAAATTATGATTAATTATACATAATTATTTGGTTTCAGATGGTTCGTAATAGAAAAAGGACAACCACTAAATCACAATGGTCACCAGAAGTAATGATAGCTGCCATAGAAGCTGTGAGGTCCGGAAGAAAAATTAGGGAAGTGACACGTACTTTCCAAGTGCCATACAGTTCCCTTCGAGATAGACTTAAAGATAATTATTATGACCCTCGACTCGGAAGAAGGTCCACATTTTCTACAGAACAAGAAAGGTTAATTCAGAGTCATGTTTTAAAATTATCAAATCAATTTTACGGACTCACAGCTCTTGAATTCAGAAGGATTGCTTTTCAATTTGCGAAAGCAAATAACATAAAAAATATGTTTAATGAAGCAACTCAGTTAGCAGGGAAAGATTGGCTACATAGATTTTTAAAAAGAAATCCACAAATTAGCCTTAGAAAGCCAGAGGCAACTAGTCTTAACCGAGTTAAAGGGTTTTCTAAGGAAAACGTAGCAACATTTTTTCGTAACTTGGAAAATGTCATGGAACGCTATAAATTTGATCCTTCATCGATTTACAATATGGATGAGACAGGGATTAGTACGGTGCATAAGCCCATACAAATACTAGCACCCAGAGGACAAAAACAGGTAGGGATAGTGACAAGTGGAGAACGCGGCCAAACCACCACCGTTTGCTGTGCGTTTAGTGCTTCTGGAGCTTTTATTCCTCCCATGTTTATATTCGCAAGGAAAAGAATGACTCCTCAGCTACAAAAAAATGGACCCCCTGGATCAATATACAAATGCTCAAAATCTGGTTGGATCACGGAGGAATTGTTTTGTGAGTGGTTAAAACATTTTACAAAACATTCAAATGCTACAAACGACAATCCCGTTCTTTTGATTACCGACAATCACAGCAGCCATATTTCTCTCGATTGTTACAACTTCTGCCGTGAAAATGGAATAGTTCTACTCTCTATCCCTCCACATACCTCGCATCGACTACAGCCTTTGGATATTTGTTTTTACGGTCCTCTAAAAAAAGCTTACAATCGTGAATGCGATTTATTTATGAAATCAAAACCTTTAGAAAAAATAACAAATTATGAGATTGCTGAATTATTCAACAAGGCCTATGGAAAAGTTGCCTCGATTGAAAAGGCTATTAAAGGGTTTAGTTCTGCCGGTATATATCCTTTAAACCCCTTCATATTCAATGACGATTTTCCAGATTTTAATGATCAAGAAAATGACCATACTGTGGATAACACGACAAATACTGTCGCAGATGAACAGCAGCCTTCTACCAGTAGAACAATTTCCCATTCTGTAAATAGAATAACCAATGATTCATCCAATGATGCAAAATCCTCTAACAAAAATAGCGGAAATGCTGCTACCGATAAACTTCAAGCCCTTGAAACATCATTACATAATATCACACCTCTTCCTACAATACACAATAGAGCAAATAAAAGGCAAGTTGATAGAAAGAAACAGACATCTACAATACTAACATCAACACCAATGAAAGATTTTTTGGAAGAAAAACATAAGAAGAAGAATGAAAAAATTGAAAAATCGAAAACCACTAAAATCAAAGAGGAAAAAGTACGCAAAGTGACAAAGAAGGTCAAATTTGATGACAGTTCTAGTGAAGATTCAGATGTCAGCATGACTGGAATTACTGATGACAATGAACCTGACGAGATAGGAGATATGCAAGATACGGAAAATAATATCTGCTTCCTTTGTGGCGAATTCGGTCGAGATCGAGAGTTGTGGTTTCGTTGCGTAATTTGCGGAGGCTGGGCGCACGCAGAATGTAGCGGAGTTAATAAGGCTGAGGGTTATGTGTGCGACAACTGTCAGTGAAAGGATTTTTATTTTTCATTCTTAGTTTTAACTGCTATTTTAACTTTTTGACGCAATTTGTGAATTTTGTTTGGAGTTTAATGTTTATTTTATTCATTTGTTCAATAAATATTTTAATATTAGTTGCTGTTTAGTGTTAATCTATATTATAACTATCTGTAAATTAATGATCGCCATTACCCCATAGGTGTGGGTAATTGCGCTCAAGGCACTAATTATATTTTGTTGTTCTAACCAACAAACATAAATAATTTTAGTGCAGTTTTCTTAATCAAATGCTAGAAGAATAAGTATTCTTTACTCAAATTAATTTTCAAGGCTTTTTGAATGAAGTAAGTAAATAAAAAACAAGTTTTGGCTTAAGTGAGCGCAGTTCCCCCCTGCTCCCTTATAGCACTAAGATTTTCAATGTCTTCTCTTTTGTTTAAGGTGTTTTGTGTAGTTTTAATTAAACACATTTCTATAAACAGTCTTTTGTTGTAATTTCTTTCCCTTCTCAATATTTCTGTTTGATCATAGTTAGGCGTATGGCCCATTGTAATACAATGTTCACTTAATGCACAGGCTTGTACTTTATTCAGATTAATATCACTCTTGTGAGATGTTAATCTTCCGGACAAATTTCTGGACGTTTCTCCAATATATATTCTATTACAATTATTACAGGGTAGAGAGTATACTACATTGGAGCTTTCTCTATTATTTAAGGGTGTTTTAAGTTTAAGTTTCTATAATTTCAGGTATTGCTTTTGATAGTTCATAAGGACTTCATTTTGTATAGGTAATTTCTTTATGTTATTTGTAGTATTTTTGAAACAGAGAATAATTAACTCGAAAGCTTAGCAAACCTAAAAGAGTTTTACTTAAAGGCAATATATTGACTACTAAACCCAATATATCCGTATATATTACTCACATAGTCACTAAAGCCCTTTCTAAGAATATATATATATATATATATATATATATATATATATATATATATATAATGTTCGGAAAGATTTCTAAGTAGTAATAGATTACTAAGTAGTAGTGACAGTGTAGTGATTAGTGAACAGTGTAGTAGTGTCTGGGGGCTCGGGAGACTGAGACCTCGGAAGCCCTGAGGAAGGCATCCGAGAGGATGCCGAAAGCTCAGCAAAATGGATATCGACGCGGTTCAACCCGGAAGACTGGTGAGTTTGATATTAATTTTAGTAATAATATTAATCTTAGCTCTAGGTTTCATCTATGTATATATATATATATATTATATATATTATATATATATATATATATATTATATATATATATATACCTATACCGACCGTTACGCGATGGAAATTCATTTTTATCTAGCAATAAAACACTGAAAACTTCTGTTATCAATACATCCACAAAATTTATTATTTTTGGTATGCGTATACACATTATATAGTCTTCCAATGAATAAGTTGAGGAGGGAAGAACTGTTTTGTTTTAAGTAGGGTTTTCGGAATTTGTCTGTATTTTTAAATTTATTAATTTCCATAGAATTTAATGAAGATAGCTTAAAGCCCTTATTTTGAATGTAACGGATTTGAAATTGATCACTAAAAGAATGGTTAAGGTCTAGAAGGTGAAGTGCTTACGTTGAATCTATTCTTCTATTATTAAAAGCCCTTTTGTGTTCTACGTATACGTTTGATAAAAGTTGTATCCGTTTAACAATGTAAGTTTTTGGGTTGACGCCACATTTAAGTTTGTATACAGCACCGTGTAAGTAACAACAACTTAAACTAATGTATTAATATTGACAAGAGCCTCTAAGTACTCTAAGCGAACTCTAAGTACGCACTTAGCTTTCTAGACTATAATCATTTTTTTACTTATTCATTTGAAGACTATAAAGGGTAAACGCATACCAAAAATAGATCACTTAAAAAAGGAACTTACTTAAAAATATTAAACTAATTAAACTATATTAAACTAATATGTTAGCCTTTTTGTTTTCTGGACAGGGTCTGAATTATCGACCACTAGATTATTCGCAGTGAAGTAAATACGGTTCATTCGCCTTTCCCAAATGTCTATCTGTCTGACATATCTACTGGGTGCAGAAGCACAATATATAATGTTTGTATTGATCATAATTCGTTTAGTCATAGATTCACAAAATTGTATTCGTCGATCAATATCGTCTTCGTTTAGTTCTTGTACAAAAAGTATTTCGTACGGATAGAAGTTATGGCCTTTTAGAATACTTTGACTAGGTCGACTAACACCAGATGCAGTTTTCAATGGATGAGTACTTAAATTTAGTCTAAAATCATGACTGCCCTTTCTTAGTTTTTTCCGGCTTGTGAATGTTACGTTTGCTATTGGTCACCGATCCGGTTTCCCCAAATTTAGCACTAAGTTTCAGAACATAATTTCGTTGTACTTTGCTATTTTCATACAAACACACTGATTACAGTTGCTACTTATAAAACTACGTAAAAAAAAGTATTTTAGGAAAAATATTTTGTCATATCAATCACCAACGATGTAATTAATGCGCATTTGAAATCAGTAAGAAATATTGTTTTTACATTTTATCAAGAAATAATATTACACTAAACCAACTTTTTTGCCATCAAAGCGCAACATGATAAACCGTAAATAAATGTATCCTCAATACCAACCAAAACCAATTGAAAATACCTTACAGATAATCGAATTAATTAATTTAACATTAGTGCCCTATTATCTATTTTTACTTTCAGTAAAGTAACTACTTCAAATCTTTTAAGCTATAGGTCCATAAAATGCGAAAACTGTTGACAGCAAGTACATCCTACATAATTTTAATATAAAGAGAATCGAACATCCTTTAAAATGGGGTATGTCACCTTCTAGGATACAGATATGATAGTAAACTGGTGAATAAGTGTCCCACTTGAAAATAAAATCGACCGGTCTGAGTGTTTACTAAGTAAACTAATTAGCTGGACGTAAATGTCACTCTTTTGATTCTTACCCTTAGGGGTCAAAGTAAAATAATCGCAAATACTTGAAAAATATGTCCCTTTTATATGTGTTCCTTATAGAACACAAATATTTATTAAAAGCTCCCTATACATCGCTTCCAGTAATAATTTATAAGGAGCAAATTGAAAACAGCTGAACCTGACCTTTTCATTTGAACTACATGGTCTTACCTTTATGTTTAAAACAGAAAAATCGAAATTAAACTGATGAAAAATACGGTAGGTAGAAAAAAATTAGTTTTAGACTATGTATTTTTACCTGAACATAGCGTAACTCCGACTAAAATGGAGAGGATCCACGATGTTAGCCCTTTGCCTTCTTGAAAATAGTCCAAAAATTCGTCGTAGAATATTCCAAAACAGTAGGTGACTCCGTCAGCTGCAAATAAAAAGGGTATTTAGTTTAGTCTTACTCAATAGTCCCAAAAAATGTTTAATATTATTTAATTAAATGTTATTCAACGAATATTTTATGTAGAAATTTTATACAAAATAAAAAATGTCATTAATCATGATCGTTTTTCATATTCTGTAATTGTTCTTTCTTAAATATTGGCGGAACTGATATGGTGACCAATTTTTTCTCGTTATTAGCAAAGCAAAATGTTTCTATTTTGAAAGCAAAGTTGTGGATCGGACTCAAATAATTGATCGTTTGTTACAAGGTAAGGATTTCACATTAAAGAAAAAGGCGAGATTAAGAGTTTTTCCCTTATATATTTTAAATATTAAAATTTCTAATTTTTAATAACTTTCGCATGTTCCACCACTAAATCCACATTTAAAAAGATCAAAAATAAACCGAAACTCAACAAAAATGTTCACTGGTAATGAAACATTTTTATAACCGGAAGTTAACAAAGACGTGTTTTTAGACGTATTTTTGTACGCTATCACAAATTTGTTGTCAAAATAAGTGTATTTATCATAATTTGTGAGTTATATAGTTTTTATTAATTTGCTCAAAACTGAGAGTAAGTATTTTCGTTTTGATAATTATTGCCGTAATAACTTTAAGTGTTAAATCGGAATATGCTGTGAAGTTATCTCTATTTATTACAGTTTTTTCAATCTAAGACGGGACAGACGGACGGACGGACGGACAAACATAATCTATAGAATCGTAACCTACCAAGTTATGCGCTAGATGAGTATGCCTTATTGAAGATGGTAAATGCCGTGATAATTGGCAATACGCTTACACAAATTAAGATACTAAGGTGTGGGCTTCAGTCTGCAAGAGGTGTCTTAGTCGGGGTTCGTCAAAGCTAGACTACAAGTGGTTCACGAGTGAGATAAATAGAAGAAAAGAAAATGGAATACAATTTTGGGCACCACTCTATTTTTGTGCTGAACAGGGAAACCTAGTAGGTAAAGAAATAAATCTAGAATGATAACTAGGAAGATACATGATGATTTCTCCACCTTAAAGATAAGGTATTAAATTGGTGATTTTAGATTCACCCGGTATGCGTGAAAGTATATTTAAGAAAATTTACGATGTACAGGCAAAATAAATTGCAAAAGTAATATTCTCAAGAAAGTAAAAAGAAATATTTTGAAAGATAATTATGATTTTTTTTAAACTAACACCCAAATTATTACTGACAGGTTTAACTGCGAGATCTGGATTATGCAAGGTCAATCAGAGGTCGATTTAACATTTCCGTTAAGACCAGGAGCCATTCTTTCTCCTGTCACCCACTATATAGCTTTTTTAAATTTAAAATTTTTTTAAACTGTTTGTCCTTTGTCTAGTGTTGTGTAAATTTAGTATATAATGTTTATGATATTCATAAAATTGTTAGATAGCCTATAATGTTGACGAATTAAGTCTAAAACGTTATACAAAAATTTTTTTATCAACCATCAACTTCGAGTTTTTTTCGAAGTTAATTAATTTTCCTTCACTTGAAAACACGTTTCTTGACTTATTTCAGATGCTATTAAAGACGCTCTGAGAGCGAAAGTACTTGGGCAAGATTTAATAAAAAACTGTACTCGATATCTGCCTTTTATTTGATTAAAGTTCATTTATTCGAGCATTCAACCATATATCACTTTATTAACTATGGCAGAGTTGGTTGATACTTACAGAAGACTATCCTGCAAGATAATGATTATATTATTGAACATTTGCTTCGTTAGGCAGTGCATTTTACATCAAGTCACTCAAAACATCAAGTTTTACCAAGGTCCAAACCTTTTGGTTTTGGTCAAAAAGGTACAGGTCAAAAAAATGTACCTGAGAAGTAAAAACAGATTTTGGAGAAAAAGATCCTAAAAAGAGAAATTAAGAAGCACTTATCCAAGCTTTATCATATTAATATCAACTTTAAAATTACTTATGTTCAAATTGTGCAATAACATCCTTGGTTTCTTGCTAACGACTCCTTTAGCCATATAGAAGATGAGGTCTCTCGCTTACAATCCACCATTAAGAGAAGTCTTACGAGAGACCGCTTTCAACGCCGCCGCGGTCGCCGACACGGCGCACGCCGCTCTGTCTTGGGCAAGATTTAATGAAAAACTGTCCTAATATCTGCCTTTCATTAATCATCTGAATTAAAGTTCATTTATTCGAGCATTCAACCATATACTTCTTTATCCAATTATGAAAATGGTTATTTTAAAGTTAATTTGAAATTTACTTAACGAATTCAATAATTGTTGAATCTTCAGAGCATGTAATAGAAGATTACTGATCGCTCTCCTTCGTTGCTTACAACACTAAATGATGATGATATATAAATACTTGATGGATTCGACCGTTACTTGATGGAAATTCATTTTATGTAACAATAAAACACTGAAAACTTTGTTTTCAAACTTCCACAAAATTTATTTTAAATCTTATCACTACAGCTGTTTCGGCTGATTGCCTTTCTCAAGTGATCTATTTTTGGCATGGGTTTACAAATTTATAGTCTCTAATGCAATAGGTTGAGGAGGGGAGTCAAAATACAACTTTGAGGTAGAATTAAATATAATTAAGCAAATAGCAGTAAACAACGGATACAACGAACAAACAATTAATAAAATGTTAAATCAAAAACTACACAAGAAAGCCCTGAAATAAGTATTTCCACCACCAGAGAAAAAACCCAGTACCTTCTGCTCGATTACATATACAGGCAAAATAACAACAAAAATTTTCAAACATATAAAAAAGAAAGGAATAACACCAGCTTTCTGAACAAATAACAACCTAGGCAAATATATTAAAAATGACAAGAGCCAAAATAAAAAACACTTAAATAGTGGTGTATACAAACTTCAATGTGGCGACTGCCTAACAACTTACATCGGTCAAACTGGTAGAAACTTTGATAAACGAATAGCAGAACATAAAAGGGCTTTCAAGAATAGAAAAACAGATTCGACATACGCACTTCACTTTCTAGATCATAATCATTCTTTTAATGAAAAATTAAAAATTCTTCCCATTCAAAATAAAGGCCTTAAGCTATCTTTGTTAGAATCTATGGAAATCAACAAATTAAAAAACACAGATATAATTCTGAATGACCAACTTGAGACAAACAGTTCTCCCCTCCTCAACCTATTTCATTAGAGACTATAAATTTGTAAACCCAATCCAAAAATAGATCACTTGAGAAAGGCAATCAGCCGAAACAGGTGTAGTGATAAGATTTAAAATAAATTTTGTGGTAGTTTGAACACAAAGTTTTCAGTGTTTTATTGTTACATATATAAATACGGTTAAATATGACAAATATATACATATAAACTTTTATTCTTTTGTCAACTATCACCATAAACTTCTATTATAAATTTGAATGAAAATCACTGAATTTATTAGTGTCAACTGTCAATAAAGTCTCTGACGATATACTTTAAAGGAGTGTAAACTGGTTGAATGGTGGATGGTCCACATTAATTGATAGCGTTATTCAAACAGCAACAAAGTGGGGTTTTACAATAAAATACTTCCGGGACCCAAAGTTGACCAAGACAAGGTGTGCAGAGGTACTGACAATATATAAGGCAAGTAGCTTTGGTCAGCTATATCTAACAGGCGCTGATTTAATACAATACGGTGCATGTCCAGGCAGGTAGAGATAAAGTTAAATATAGTGAAAACACACCTGACCATCGAGCTGCGCAAAGCCGGAGTCAAAATTCACGTAAAGGCAGTAAGGTTCTATTGTAAGTCGAATTATACAGTGCATAGTACAGAGCGTTTCGCATGGAAGTGGGGACTAAACCAAATTTCGTCTACTGCGCCGTGGGCAGTAGTGTTTGCACTATCTCTAAATATTGCAGATAAGCGTCAGAAACATCACAATACGAGTAGCCAAATCCACTAATTAACGACAGTCGCATTCATACAAGCAAACAGAAATCGACCACAGGTCTATAATAATAATAATAGATAATTTAAACTAGAGGAACAGTTACAAGATAGATAGATATATAGATAAGATAAGTCAATAAACTGACTGGCCCATCTTATTCAGAAGCTAACACAAAAGTGAGCTAGTCCCCGGTAAGTTAGTTAGGGATTAAATTTATGTTAAAGAGTGGGAGTTACGGTTCTCCTGCGAGTTTAGTAATACATAGGGGTTAAGCACAGAGAACCGTTTCGAATCAAAGTAGTTTCAATAGACAGCGAGACACTTGGTGGGGAAAAGCACAGCGGTATGCAATATGAATAGGTTTAGTAATATATGTGTTTTGTAAGTTGAAAAAGGGCAAAGAATTCATTGAATAAGTTCTTGGGATTCAAGATGTATGGAAGAGACAAATTTGCGTCGTTTCTGGGAAGTCAAGAGTCTTACGGACAATACGATGTCCTCGAACAGTGCAATGGAAAGATTCGTTATAATCTTGAAAAAAGAATAACTAGCTCCGTAAATTTATTGTAATATCTAGTAAACTACTCCAAACAAATATTGTGTTCCCCCTCTGTGGCTCAGTGGTAAGAGTGCCTACTTTTAAACCTAAAGGTCGTGAGTGCGAATCTCATCTGGGTGAAGAAATTTTCGTTTATTAAAAATTAATAGATGAAAATAATTTCTATCCTTGTGCGATCGGTATTCACCGGAGGAACTGCAGACATTCGGATAAAATTAGCGTCTCTTAGCAAAGACAATGACGTCGACTTCGCTAAGTTTCAAGACAATTACTCCACACACACACACACACTACACTAGGTACGTGACTGTACCATAACAATGATCTTAGTTGTCGAGGCATTAACTAAATAATAAAAAAAAAATATTGTGTTCAACATAATAATGAAAAGTAGTTTACTACAGTTTCTTATGTAAATACTTTTGGTGAGATAAATTATTAAGACAATTAATAACAAAAAGTAATAGAATTACTACAATTGGTAATATTTAAATTTAGATA